TACAGCTATAAAACAGCAGAAAAACGGACCAGCAGCAAGGAGGAAGAAGCTGGACGGGCAGAACCAGAGAAGCAGGGGAAAACTGGGGAAATCTGGGAAGAAACTGGAAGAAGAAAAAGAAAAGTGCTGGAAGACAGGGAAGAGAGCAAAAAACGTGCAGCAGTCTTACTTCATTAGGTAGTAGTACATCAGACCTTTTACATTATAAAAAGCTGAAATTTAAACCTACTACATTACACGAAATCAACCCTACACTTGTCTATGTTACAGCCATTGGATTGGACAAATTAAAGAAATATTACTTTGACTTTGAAGACACATTACACATCAACACTATCAAACGACGGAATAATGACAGAATCTCTGATTTATAATGAAGAAATCGGACAAAAATTGTGTAAAGTGCCTATTTATAATGACAGAATCTCTGATTCTCGAGTAAGGAAGATTTCATCAGCCACAGATGCAAGGAAAATTTTTCAAGGGTATTTCTTTAGTAAGGCAGATGCTATGGTTTTAGCAGAGGATGACCGGATGAATAATCCCCCTGAGATGGGAATTCGCTATGTAGATTTTGATCCACTCAACATCGTTATTGATAAAAATATTGCACCCTTGCCCATTAGGTTCATACCAGAGGCATCTGAAGTGAGAAATGCATTAGAGGTAAAAAAGAAGGCGGGTCTTCCTCATAAGAACTTTTCCGGGGTTCCAGTTTTTGAGTCCAGGAATTTGAGTATATGTGAAGGTTATATGACTCTCGAAAGTGAAGGGTGCCAAGATCGGAGACGCCTCCTTTTTTTCAAAAATGAGGATCTAAAAAAATCTCTAGCAAAAGCTGCATATCATGATGGAGGATCCAGTCTTATTGATATGGAGGCACATATAGAGGTTGCTGCTCTTGAGAATATTATACAAGCAATGAAGGATAGTTCAACATCAGAGTGGAACAAAGCTGTTTTTGCATATCATGGTGAAGATATTGAAACCGCTCCATCACCCAGAGAGCTATGAAGATATATTATTGACTCTTTAATTTTCAACAGTTAGGATTTTATTTATTTATTTATGTACTTTGTTGAACTGGAAATCAGAAAACTAGATAGATCAGCAAAGCACATTCATCGGTAGTCACCCTTTTGAGTTTTGAATTGGTTTTTGATCCCAAAACGTCTCACTGATCACAATTTTTCCAGATGCACCCTCAGCATTTGGAAAATCTGGCCCTCTTTGTTCTTTTGTTGATAGCTATAGCTTTTGTGTCCATTTATCTTCTGTCAGCGTAGAAACCCAAGAGGCATTGAATGGGGTATAAGAAAACCCATCAATTACTTTCAGTTTACTGATGCTTGACCGATAAATTCTATTTCAAACTTTGGTTTATTAGTTATCCTCAATGGTGTTGTGTTGGTTTTGATTTTGTTAATGTAGTGATCTCTTTTTGGGGTATAGTTTTGGTGAGGAGACTGGATTCGGAGTAGGAGTGGGCAAAACCCGAACCAAACCGACCGACCCGACCCAAACCGACCAGTTTGGGTCGTTTTTTACATTATTTGGGTGGGTTTCGGGTTTCTGGGTGGGTAATCGGGTAGGGTTGTGGGTTATCAACCCAAACCCGATATAAACCGACCCAACCCGACCCGGGGAAAAAAAAAAAACCGGTTTCAAAAGAAAACCCTAAAGGTAAATGCTCCACATTTCACTCCTAACCGGTTTCCCATTGCTCTCTGCCTCTCTCTCTCTCTATCTCTCCGTCCCTCTCTCTGAAATCACTCCCAAGTCCCAATCCAGGCGACCCAAGGCCCCAACCAACCATCCTCTCCGTCTCCGACCATCCCAAGTCCACCAACGAACCTCGACCACCAATTGAGCTTCCCGAAGCAACTGAAGATTGTTATTGGTGGGGGTGGGAAAGGTAATTTTTTCACTA